ATCTCCCAGGACTACTCCTGGCTCTGCGCTCAGGGGACAACTCCTGGTGGGTTTGGGGACCAGATGAGGTGTAGGAGATTGAACCTAGATCAGCTGCATGCAAGGAAATGCCCTACCTTTATTGCTATGGCTCTGGCCCCATTGGAGTATCTTTTAAATTTATTTTCATTTTTTGGGTTTGGAGCCATACCCAGCAGTTCTCTGGGCTTACTCCTAGCTCTGTGCCCATAGGTCACTCTTGGCATGGCTCAGGGACCATATGGGGTGCTGGAGATGGAACCTGGGCCCGCTGCATGTGAAGCAAGTGCCCCCCCCCCCCCCCCCCACTGTATGATCTCTCCAGCTCCAGCAAAGGGAAACTTTTTAAAAGGCTTAATAGAAAGTAGAGATCACTAAATAATTGTTACATTATAAAGAATTGGCTCTTGTTCAAGCTTATGATGACAGAGCACTCTACTGCACATTTATTCACTTATTCCTCAGGAATAAAGGAAGGGTTAGCTCTGGGACTTCCCATAGAAAGACCAAGGCTCGGAGAGGCTGGGCCGCTGGTGCAGCGGCTGATGGTGCAGAAGGGAGGAGAGAGGAGACCAGGCCGGTGGCCCCAGAGGCCTCAGGACTCCCTCCGAGGCGCAAGATGGTGACAGAGCCAGTCTCTCACTCCCTGGCCCCCCACGGCCTCTATTTCAACCCTATGTGTGAGGCCCCAAAGCAGGCTCCCTAGCAGCCATGACAAGCTGCAAGTAACACTAAGTCTCAGCTAGGCCTCAGTTACTGTTTCCCTGGTGCAGGACTTGCAGTTTCTGGTAAACTCCCAGTTGAGTAATGTACCTAGATAAGGAATAGGGCAGTTGGGTCTGGCCGGTCACGAGGGGTCACTGTACCCTCCTTAGAAACTGTTGTTAACCATTGCTGAATTGCTGATCACCAATGTAATAGGGTCAACGCTAAAAATAGATCAGTATATAAATTGCCTCTTAACTCTGAACCCTATATAAGCTGCTTGTGATTTGGAGTCGGGGTCCTTGTCAAGACTCCACTGCGTTGGATGAGACTTGGACCCTAGCTTGGGCTAGTGCTGGCTTTGGCTAGTAATAAAGTTCCTTTGCTCTTGCACTATTATGTGCGGACTTGGTCTCTCTGCAACTGGGGATCTGAAACTTGGGCACAACGTATGTGGTGGCTGGTGGCTGAAATGGCTGCCAGTGCTTTAAGAGAAAAAGAAAAGTTCTGCTCAGCTTGGGGCATGGGAGCTGGAGCTTTGGAGAGAGTAGATTTATGAACAAATCCTGGGCACAGGATTTTCAGAACAAATCCTTGCCGTCCCCTGTCTCCTTGTTACTGTCTCATACTCTAAACAGCGATGCTTCCCAATGGCTCTGAGCATCTGACTTCTCCTGGCTCAGGAGGGGTGTAGACAGCACAGTGGTTCGGAGCGTGTGCTCTGGATACAGATACCCTGGGTTCATATCCCAGCTCCTGCCTGGAGCAGCTGTGCCTCAATTTCCTCCAAGTCCAAGTGGAAAATAATGACTCGGTGAACATATACATGGAAAGTGTCCAAACAATCCCTGGCACCTAGAACACACCCAATGCGTTTAGCTTCATGTCGGTCATGATTTCTTTACTCAGGGAATAGGAGGATGTGAAGGAATTGATGACCTGATATTTTAATGTGCAGGTGACTTTTTTGGTACCCATGTGGTTTAATTCGTCCATCTTTTCCTTACGAGTCTCACATTGCTTTCGCGCTTAGAAAGTCCCTTTACACCCACCTATCAATTAATAGTTACCTAAATTACCTTCTGAAAAATTTAATAGTTTTCATTATTTTTACATTTATATCTAATCTGATTTTTAAACTCAGGAACTTTGAATGCCAGATGAAGGCTTCCTATAGCGAACTCCTCGACTCCTCCCTCTACTCTGCTCTTGTTCAGACCTCTGCCCCCCACCAGGTCCTGCACTGAACCTAGGGGCTCAATCTTCACAATACATCATCAACCACCTGCCACCACCTCCACAATGTCCCCCGGTTCTAGCTAGTATCATGCCTTCCCTCCATTATTCCACCGGCCACCCTGGAGCCCCCAGCTTCTTCTTGTTGGTTTGATTTTTGGACCACACCTATTAGTGCTCAGGGACTCTCCCCACTGCTGCCCCCACATTCCTGGAGGTGCTCAGGGACCCTGTAGCGGCAGGGCTTGAATCCTGGCCTCCTGTGTGTGAAGGATGCACATTACCCCTTGGAACCATCTGTCTGCCTCGGTTGGCTTCTGTGGCCTTGTTTGGTGTTTCTAGCTATGTGCAAAGAGCAAAGACACGTCGTTTGGTCTCTGTTGGGAAGCCTCCTCTCTGACCACAAGTTTTCTTCTCCTTTTTTTTTGGGGGGGGGGTCATAACCAGCAATGGGGCTGGAGCGAGAGCAGGGCTGGAAAGATAGCACGGTGGGTAGGGTGTTTGCCTTGCATGCGGCAGACCTGGGTTCGATTCCTCTGTCCCTCTTGGAGATCCCGGCAAGCTACTGAAAGTATCCCGTCTGCACAGCAGAGCCTGGCAAGCTCCCTGTGGCATATTTGATATGCCAAAAACAGTAACAAGTCTCAATGGAGACGTTACTAGTGCCTGCTCGAGTAAATTGATGAACAACAGGAGGATAGTGCTACAGTACTACAGTGCCCAGCAATGCTTCTCCTGGTCTTACACTCAGGAATCGTCCTGTCTTGGGGAATCATAGGGGATGCTGGGGATTCAACCCAGGTCATTTGCGTGCAAGGCCAACACCCTACCCACTGTACTATCTCTCCAGCCCTATTCTCTCTGGCCACAGGTGCAGCTGGGAGGGATGCAGAGGAGCCGTGAGGAGGAAGCAGACACCAGCCTGGCCCGCCAGACCAGCTGGATCAACCCTGGAGAGGCCTTGGCTAGGTCACCCTCACACACTCCACCAGCTCCTGTCCTCACCCAGCACATACAGTACCTCCAGCATGTCTCCCACACAGCAGCCAAAGAAGGCTGGTCAGCTCACTCAGGGTACACCACACATTTGCTGAGATTTTTCGAGAGACTTCCTGTTTGATGTGGCCGAAATCAAGGCTCTACAGCAGCTAGTAGAAATCTGGGGTGATTCTCATCCCATCCACCTGCTCCCTTACTCTGCTGCGGCCAAACAGGCCTATTCCTGCTCTTTGACAGGCAGACTCCAGCCCCAGGGCCTTTGCACTGGCCAGTTCTGCCTGATTGCTCTTCCCTTGGAAATCTCTATGCTGCTCAATCCCACGGCTCCTTCCTATCTGTTCACAAAGAACTCTCTCAATGAGGCCCACTCTTCCTCCCCTAGTTAAAAATGCTCCCTGACTTCAGCAGCCACCATTCTCTGACCCTGTTCTACTTTGCTTCTCTTTCAGAGCACTTTCATCTGCTGGTATCCATGCCTCTCACTCATCTGTTACAGTGTGGACCTGTTTCTCCTGCTAGAAGCTAAGTTCCAGGAGGGCAGAGATGTTTGGTTTCTGGACTTGTGGGGCCCCTGAACCTAGAGCAGTACCTGGTATATGGAAAGGTCATGGCCACTATGACAGATGAATGCATATGCTGATGTTCCTCTTTCCTTGCAATCAGCTGAGGAGCCCTAGGATGCTCCTTTGAGTAAAGTAAAGTAAAGTAAAGGCCCTCCCGTTGTTCATCTATTTGCTTGAGCGGGCCCAGTAACATCTCCATTGGAGATTTTGTTGTTACTGTGTTTGGCATATCGAATACATCACGGGTGGCTTGCCAGGCTCTGTCGTGCGGGCGAGATACTCTCGGTAGCTTGCCGGGCTCTCCGAGAGGGGCGGAGGAATTGAACTCGGGTTGGCCATTTTGACTGCGTGCAAGGCAAATGCCCTACCGCTGTGCTATCGCTCCAGCCCAAACAAGCTCCTTTGAGTATCTTTTTTTTTTAAATTTTGCTTTTGGGCCACACCTGGTAATGCTCAGGGGTTACTCCTGGCTCTAGCTCTATGCTCAGGAATTACTCCTAGCAGTTCTCGGGAGACCATATGGGATGCTGGGGATGGAACCTGGGTTCACTGCATGTAAGGCAAATGCCCAACCTGCTGCACTATTGCTCCGGCCCCATTATAATTTAAATGATGTGATTTTGTTCAGGGTTTGCCATGCCAGGGACGGAACCCAGGAATTCAGACATGCAAGACAGTGCTTTTCTGTGGAGTCATAGCCTGGCCCCTCAGGTGCTGCTGGAGCACCTGCCAAACCCAGATATAGTTCCTGTGTACCGAGAGTGTGAGTTGTGGACTGAGGTTCTCTGCCAGGCTGTCAGCTCTGCCAGGGGCAAATGAGAAGTGCCCACCATCTGCTTTTCTCTATGTGGGAACCCTCTGGAAGAGTCTGTCCTGCACATGTGCCCCCAGTCCTGGTACGAGGTGGAATGGGACTGTAAGGGAAATAGAGGCACTAGGTGGGGGTCAGAGGCCAGCAGACACCAGGGCAGAAGGACCGATTCACTCCTCCCCTGTCACCTCTCAGGCCAGAGTCTGATGTCCCCATCAGGTCATCAATACTTATCTGAATTCTTGTTTTTATTTGTTTTTCTTTTTTTTGGGGGGGGGTCACACTTAGCAGTGCTCAGGTGTTACTCCTGGCTCTGCACTCAGAGGTCACTCCTGGCAGATTCGGGTGGACCACATGGGGTGCCAGGGATTGAAGTGGGGTTGGCCACATGCAAATCAAGATCCGTACCCACTCTACTATCTTGCCCGCCCCAATGCTTGCCTGAATTCTCCCATGAGATACTCCCACCATGCAGTGCAGAGATGAGAAATGGGCCAGAGCCGTGCAGCCAGAGGAGGGGACCTCACATCTAGGATGGATGGGGCTTCAGGGGAGGCCTGAGGGGGGAGTCAGAATCTCACAAGTACCAAGAGAGGGGAGCATGCTCCTGGTGGGGGAGGGGGCAGCAGGGCTGGGAAGAGAGTGCGCTGGGCTCATTCAGGGCCCACCTGACTGCCAGTCTGGCGGCCGCAAGCAGGGAGGCAGGGAGGTGGTGAGGACGACGCGCAGAGGTGGCCCGCGGGGGTACGTACTGTGGCCGCTGGTGTAGTGCTGCAGCTTGTCTGTGTACTCCGAGTCAGCGCGCTCAAAGCCCCGTCTTCTGGAACAAGAGCAACGGGCTGGAGCCACCTGGAGGCGCCCAGGGAACAGGGAGCCACAGCAGGTGATAGGGAGAGGGTGGGCAAGTCCTTGACCCCTAGCCCCTGCCACCAGGCTCCCTGCGAGGCTGGCCTCGAAAGCTCCACCCATTTCTTCCCGCATCTGCCACTTCACTACGCTGCCTTCCCCTCCCAGTCTAGTCCTTCCCCTTCTGTTTTGGGGCTGGGGGCTGTGCTCAGGCCTTACTCCTGGCTCTGTGCTCAAGGATTATTCCTGAGCTGTTCAGGGCCAGGAATTGAACCTGGGTCAGCTACATGCAAGGCAGGTACCTTCCTTGACACTGGACTATTCTCCACCCCTGCCCCCTGAGACCCCAGGGGCTTCTGTCCATCTGGCCTGTGGCCAGTCTGTTCTTAGAGCCCATTCTGTTCAAAGGAGGGAGCTCTTTAAGGACAACAGTCTCTTTGCATCGACCAAGCAGCAGTCAGGAAACTGACCCTGGCCTGAGCTGTCCACTACCCGGATGTCTTCCCCTGATTTCTTCCCTAGACAAAGCCAGGGGCCTTGCCTGGATACCTCAGCCTGGCATCAAGCTCCCAGCTTGGATCCTGTTCATGAAGGGACCTCAAGTAGTGCAGAAAGTCGGGTGAGCCAAACTCCTGCTCCTGCCCCCTAGCTCCCAGTGTCCTGAGTCCTTCCGACTGGACACCATGGGCCGATCCCAGTTCTGGAGTGTCAGTGTCTCCATGTGCAGGTCCTTGGATAGTGGGCTTGTCCAGGGCAGGGCCCACCCCCAAGGGATGGCTGGGCAGTGGGAGGCCCTGCGGGCTCCCGGGCTTAGCCGAGTAATCCTTGTCTGTAACATGTAGGGGAAGGCCCCTGCCCCCATTGACAAATACTGTTCCAGAATGCCTGAGTGGACAGACCTCCCCATGCAGAGCCAGGCCTGGCTAGAGCCAGGGGACCCCTACCCACCTATTACACACGATGGCGATGACGACCACAGCAATGAGGAAGACCAGGCCGGCCACCGAGGAGCCGATGATGAGAGGCAGCTTCTCCTGGATGCTCGTCTGGTACTCGGCTGGGAGGGAAGCACAGGGGAGCGCTATCAGCCTAGCGTGGGCGTCTGGACACCTCCCGCCCTACCCAGGGTCTCCCGGGCTCCACCGGCTTTCTCTGGCACCTGGGAGCATAGGGCACATGCCCTGGTGGAGAGCAGTGGTGGCTCGCTCACAAGTCATGAATAGCCTGGCCCTCCACTGGCTGTCATCCTAACACTCCACCGCAGTGGCAGTGTGGAAACCCACAGTTCTCAGGAGCTCACAGGCCACTCAAGGTGCAGGGTCCTAGGCCAGTCTCCTGGGTTTCGATCCCAATGATGCCACTTACCATCTTGTGATCTCTGGGCGAGAAACTTACCTCTCTGAGGCTCAGTTTCTTCATCTGTAAAATGGGGAGAATAATAATTCCCATCTCATAGGGCTGCTGTGTAACACACCTAGAACAACTCGTGGCACACAGGACGCACCCAGCAAACAGTAACTATTGTTGTCCTCGAGTGTGTTAAGTATCAGTCACTGTGCTAAGTATTGTTGTGTATCTTCTTGCATTCTCAGAACAGTCTTCAGATGCACTCCCTATAATTTCTCCATTTTACAGATGAGGAAACTGAGACTTAGAGAGGTTGTAACTTGCCTGGCCTCACACAGTCAGAAGGGACCCCAGACCAGGCTTGCTCGACCCCAGGTCACTGGCTTAAATGAGATAATGCAGAAAATGCACTCAAGCATCAACTGGATTCTTTCCCAGGCCTGTCAACACCACTGTTTTATTTATTTATTTTTATTTTTGCTTTTGGGGATCACACCCAGCGATGCTCAGGGGTTACTTCTGGCTCTGTGCTCAGGAATTATCCTGACAGTGCTCAAGGGACCAAGTGGGATGCCAGATGCTGGGGATTCAAATCGGATCAACCATGTGCAAGGCAAACGCTCTACCTGCTGTATTATTGCTCCGGCCCCAACACTGTTGTTTAAAATATTATTATCAGTTGTATTGGATTCCATGCCCAGACAGGAACACGTGGGAAGTTCCAGTCTAGGTCAGCTCTGGGTCCTTAGCACCCACATAGGACCTGGCCATCTGGTCCTCAGCACACAATTACTCAGGAAGAACTTACAGAGGAAGGATCTTGGGACAGTCCCCAGGTCCCAGGCCAGTAACATTTATCCAGCATGCAAAAGGGGAGAGAGTGAAAGGCACTGGCCATCTTGTCATGAGGCAGACTTTTTTTTGAAGGGCAAATTTTTATAGGGTAAGAGATGGTAGTACCATAAGGGAGCAGATAAGATAGGAATCCGCAGGCCCAAACATCTCTGAAATGTTTAGCCAGTGGTTGAAGCAGATGCTAAGTAAAGATTTTGGAGTCTGGTCATAAGCAAGACTGCCCTGGAACTTAGCTGGGGCTGGTGGCATCGGTGGTGTTGGTGATGTGTGTGTGTATATGCCTGTGCACACCCACGTGTGTGTGTGTGTGTGCGCATGTGTGTGTGCGAGTGTGCATGTGTGTACCTGTGCATGCGTGTGTGTGTGTGCGTGCATGCATGTATATGTGCATATGTGTAAGGACCCCCAGATTCACGGCAATGAAAATGATGACCTTAATGCCCAGTTGGGGCATGCTGTATGTGAGGGACCTCCTGCCAATCTTGCACATTTGTTCCCCCCATCCTTAAACTTGTTTGATAATGCTGACAATAATGAGACAGTTAGTATCATCCCCATCTACAGGTGAAAAAACAGAGGCCCCGAGAGCTAAGGTGGACTGCATAGAGGCACATAGCTAGGGGCGGGTGAGCACTGTGATTTCCATCAGTCAAGCATCAGTGTTGATGTGTGACCTGTGTTGCTCCTTAAACATTAGTAGAGCGGGAGGGGCCAGTAAGACACCAGACTGGCAGATACACCATACAGGGACTGCAACCTGGCAGGAGTGCCAGGGCAGAAGTTACTAGTCCGTCCCAGCACTTCTCGACAAACTCAGATGTGGCTTCAACATTCTTTTCAATCCAATCACATGCCACTGGAATCAGATACAGGCAAAACACCTTCACTCTCTAGATTAAATACAATGCTTCCTGGGAGGACAGCAGTACCGAAGGTCAGACCCAGGACCTCACACGTTCCAGGCAAATGCTTTATCATGGAACCATCTCTCAGGCCTGAAATACATTCCTTTTTCCTGAGGAAATTTTGGATCGGGGATGGAAATGACTTTTGCAGAGTGACCATAGAAATTAAGGTTGTATTCCCGAAAGTCCTGGGAAAAGAGGTGGCCTGGCTGATGTGACCGGAGTGGAGGAATCCACGTCCTTTCTGGGCCACAGAAACAAGAAGCGGTGCCTCTGTATGGGAGTTTTGAACTGGGAGGGAGGAATGAGGATGGGCAGACAGCTAGAAGAGGGGCTGCCTTCTCCACCTGGCACAAAAGTCCCCGATCGGAAGGAGATCCTGGAGGCTTTGTGGGGTCCATGCACCCTGCCTGTCCGCTGGACACCACTCACCTTCAGTCATGGTCTGGAAATACATCTTGCCACTGTAGCGCCCGTAGCCTGCCACAGTGCGAGCCCGCACCTGGAAGACATAGATGGCGCCGGCTTTGAGGCCCTGCACCGTGGCTGTGTTGGTGGGGCTTTTTATGGCTGTGGCGTTGAACTCACTGAGCTCCTGCCGAGGAACAGAGAAGACAGTTAGTGAGGGTACTGATCCCAGGGGTGCCAATGCTGTTGCCCACTCCTGCCATGCAGAGTGGCTCTGGCCCACACCTGTGGCCCCGGGCCCTTCACTCTTCCCCTAAAGCGTGATCATGATCACTCCTGCCTCTAGCGTGATCATGCAGCCCTTTCCACAGCAGCAGCGAGAGGGTGTTTCTCTGCCTCGGGGAAGCTCAAAGTGTCCACGTGACTTTCTCTGGCCACTGGTTATCCCAGAGGACATAATGCAAGTGTCTTTACATGGACTTGGATTTCTGTTTGTTTCTGTGTCACACTGATTGTTCTCAGGGATTACTACTGGTGGGGGTCAGTGGGTCATATGGGATGCTGGGAATCAAACTGGGTTGGCCACGTGCAAGGCAAGTGCTCTACCCACTGTACTATCTCTCCAGCCCCCACCATGGGCTTCTCAGTTAAGTGTAGCCTCTTTTGCTTCTTCCATCTGCCACAGGGGTGTGGGCTGGGCTTGGGTGACAGCTGGCTCTAGAAGGAGAAAATTGTGAAGGAGAAGACCTTGACCTAACTTCTAGGCTGAAGCAGCCAGAGACAGAGCGGAGTAAAAAGGCTGTTGGATTTGGGGGATTGTTTGCCTTGTAGCATCATCCCAACAACAGCTGATGACTGCACAGAGCTGGAGCAGAAACTGCAGATGACACACGTGCTGCACCTTTGCATCCCTTCCCTGCACCATGCCCTAACAGGTGAATGCAAGGGACCTCATAGTCTCCGCAGCACACCTGAGTGAGGAAGAATCAAGACCCATGAAAGGGAAGCGATTCTCAAGGGTCCTGTATCATTTGGGGGCTGCTTAAGGACTCAAAAGGATGTTCCTGTAGAGAGTCTCCTTTATTTTCCCTGCCTTTGGGGACACAGGACTGAACGCTCCCTCCTTTAAGAGATGACAATAGGGGCTAGAGAGATAGCACAGTGAGTAGAACACTGGCCTTGCATGCAGTCCATCTGGGTTCACTCCTGGGCACCACCAGAAGGAAGCCCTGAACACAGTTGGGTGTGGCCCCGAAATAAATAAAAACAAAACCAAAAAGAGATGCAGAACATCAACGCTGATTTCCCAAGAGTTCCCCAGACACTCTCTATCGCAACCCCGCCACCCCTGCCAGTGCTGGGTGGGGCCAGATGTGCAGCTGTGTGCTGGGAGTGAGATGCTGTTGAGCGGGTACAGACGTTTGCCTGCTTAGCTGGTGCTCATCCAGGCAAGGGTCAGGCACCTAGGAAACATTACCAAATATCTTTTTGTTGGGTCCGGGGGCACTCGAGCTAAGGCACATGCCCTACCTTCAGACATTTCAGCCCAGAAACCCCAATAGCGGTGTCAGGAAGCCACTAAGAAGCCATGGACCCTTATGCAGAAGAATTCACAGCTGATCAGACCTGCCCAGTGTCCCGGAAAGCCTCTGACATTCCATGCGCCTGTCACCACAGGTGCACAGCAGAGACGGTAAGATCACACACTATGGGCCAAGAGAGGGCAGATGGGCAAAGGTGTTGACTGGCACATGGCTGACCCTAGACTGCAAGGTCCAAGCAGCATCACATTGAACTACCAGCCGTGCCAGGAGGAGTCCTTGGGCCTCCATCATCACTTGGGAGAGCCCTCTACCTTCCCTCCTCCCACAGAAAACATACATACACACACATACACACACACACACACACACACACACACACACACACACACAGACACTGGAGCCAGAATTCCTGGGTTGGAGTCCTGACTACTGCTGTGTGACCTGGGGCAAGTTCCTTAACTTCTCTCGGCCTCCTTTCCTCTGCCGGTAGACTGAGGAACTGAACTACATCTGCCTGGAAGCACCGTGGAGAGGGAAAAGGTAATGAATGGGTAGGATGCTCATGCTGGCAAGGTAAGCCAGGAAAACACATCGGAGAGAGGAGGGAACAGGAATGGAAGAGGGAACAGGAATGGAGTCAGGGGCTCCTCCTGGCTCAGTGTGTGGGGACTGTGTTCAGTGGTGTGGTTCAGGGGACAAGGAGCTGCCGAAATGCAGTGCTGGGCTTCCATCCTGATCCTGGTTCTCCCAGTTGCAAAACAAGTACTGAGCACACTGAGTTCTCTCCCACCCTGGAGCGAAAGCTTGAAGACAGGACAACCCCCAGGTAAACATGGAAGAAGCATGTGCAAAGGCCAGGGGGTGAGAGGGAGCTCAGGAGGGGGCCCCAGAGGGGCTGGCTTGTGAGATCCTCACCCCTTCTACACGGGACTTCATAGAAAGGGGGTCTTTGCGTCAGAGCATCTGTCTCTTTCTCTTGAAAGTCACCCTGCCCTCTCATTGGACACACTTCTCCCTCCTTTGAGCCCTGGAACGGCTGCAATGGGTGCCAGAGATGGGGTTTCTGCTGAGTGCCCTCACCCTGGGCCCAGGCCCATCTTGCACCTTGTTCTGCTGGCTCTTGAGGGAAGGGGCTGGGTTTGTTCCCGAGTGCCTGCAGGGTGGAGATCTTGCTCTTTTGCTTGGCAAGCTGGGCCCTTCATGACCTGCCCTTTACGAGTCTCTCCTGCCATAACCAATTGCTTCCCCTTCACCTGGTATGGCAGCCAGATGTGGCCAATAAAAATCACACAGGCATTTCAGTTACATCTAAATGTCAAGAAATTGAACAGTGTTTTAGCATTAGTGTGTTCTATGTGGTACTTAAGGCATAGCAATAGTAAAGAATTACTTTAGGGGCCAGGAGATGACCCTTGGCACCACCCAAGTTTGACCCCTGGCACCACACAGCTTCCTGGGCAGTGCTGAGCACAAGCCCAGAGACCCTTGGGCCTCAGCAGTACCACATCATCTTGGCTTTAACCCCCAGCTTGCTAGGCTGGCTGAGAATCCCCATGGGGCCCTGGAACCTCCTGAATATAGCTTGGGAGCCCTCCAAGCTATTTTTAAAAAATTCAAATGTAGGGCCTAGGGGGGCCCAGAGAGATACTAGAGCAGGTAGAGTGTGGCTGACCTGGGTTCGATCTGTATTTTTTTTTCTTTTTGGATCACACCTGGCAATGCTCAGGGGTTACTCCTGGCTCTGCACTCAGGAATTACTCCTGGCGGTGCTCAGGCGACCATATGGGATGCTGGGAATTGAACCCGGGTCGGCCGCATGCAAGGCAAACGCCCTACCCGCTGTGCTATCGCTCCAGCTCCTCGATCTGTATTTTGAGCACTGACAGTAGTAATTCCTGAATGCAGAGTCATAAGTAACCCTCGAGCATTTTTGGGTGTGGCCCCCAAACAAAGAGAAAAATTCAAATGTAGGATCTGGGGGGATAGCTCAGGTGGGTGGGAGGCATGCCTTATGTTCTCAAGGCCCCAAGTTTAATTCTGACACTGCACCCCCATCACCACCACTTGGTATAGCCCAGAGGACCTCGAGCACAGTCTCTACTCTTGCATGGATGTGCCAGGGCTTCACCTCTGGGCTGTGTGTAGCCAGGAGTGGTCTCTCGGTCCTGGGACACTGCTGGGGAGGTATCCCTCTGATTCAAATACAGAACCTGGAGTTTCATATTTTATTTGGCAGCCCTGCCTTTCCTGGACCCTCAGAGACTTTGCAGGAACTTCTGGCCTTGTCTGAGATGCCTTTATCCCATCCGTCTAGCCGTTCCCTAGTTATCAGTACTGAAGACCCAGTGCTAAGGCAGCCTCTGCTGGGACACCACCTGTTGTGTTGTACAGCTCCACAATCTCCTCCCCACCTGTTATTCTGGTATCCATGCTCCTCCGCTAGGGACCTGGGATCCCCTGAGGTCAGGAGTCCTGTTTCATTCATCCCTGGGTTCCACGCACGGCAAGCAGCCACTAAGGCGTGAATAGACATTGAACTATTGAAGATCTACAAAGCTGGGCTGCAGTACCAGCTTTGGCAACTAGGTGCCGCCGCCAACCTGGGCTCTGCTCAGCCTGGCCAAGGGGATCGCTTCTGCCTTCTGGGTTGTGTGTGTGTTGGGGGGGGGGGGTGTGTCCCTGTGTCCCTGCAGACAAGCTCCACGGTATGAGGGAGAGGGGAGGTGGCTGCTGGTGGCAATGATGGCAAAGGAGAGCGAAGAACCAACCTGAGTGGATCTCTTCCTTTTTGCCAGGCTCTGGACAGAGCAAAGAATTGGAAATCGTTTCAAATGCCAGCTCGTCCGCACACTTGCACTGTAGCCTTAACACAGACCACGTGGACCCCTCCCCACGCCCCCAAAGGCAAAAGTGAGCATGGATCACTGCACAGAGACACCACCGCAGTGACGCCAGGCAGCCTGGAGAGAGCTGGGGCTTTCAGAGCTCACCATCTTCCCCCTCTGCCTGGAACGCCTTCCCCTTTCTTCTTCCAAATGCAAATTTCTGCGGAATGAACACATAAATCGGTGTGGCCTATATGAGTGCCTCAGCCATCGCTGGCATCCCGAAAGTCATGCTCCAACGGGAGCAGGACCCTGTGTATTTTGGGGAAGTGACCAAAGAACACCCCCCACCCCACCTCCCGACCCCCACCCTGCTGAAATATTTGAACTGGCTGATTCTGGGCTGGCTAACACCCTGCCCCAGGTCTGCTCTAAAGGAGTCTTTCTAAAGAAGGGGGTGCAGTGTGGTCCCCACATGGGACTTGTAGGGCTCAGTCTCGCATTCCTACCCGGGAAGGTCTGGAACATTCCTTAAGTAAGTGGGTGTGAGAAGCAGAGGGAGGAACCTGTACATGGTCAGACACTGCTCAGCCCCACAGCCTAGCAGCCCTCACCATGATGGGGCCAACTCAGAAAGGTTCAGCAGGGCAGGGAGGGAAACGGCCCTGGCTCTCCTCCCCCGCCTCCTAATCCTCCAGCTTCACCCCTCCTCTGACTCTTCCATCCACTCCTTTTCCTTCTCTCTTGGTCTTGCTGCTCTCCTGGGTTCTCTCCCTCGCCCAGTGTCCTCTGCTCCTGGCTGCACCCCAGCCCAGCCCACCTCTGCCTTGGACCCACGGTGCTTCCTTCACACTTCCCAGACCCCTGAGTCTTGGAATGCAGCTTGGTGAGAAGCTGCCAGCAGCCCTGTTCTGTGCTACCCATGTTTTTCCCTACAGGATGTCCTGTGAGAGCTCTGCACAAGGTGTGTGTCCCTGGGTTCCTCTGCAGTCTGTTCTCCACACAGCAAGCAACAGGGAGCTTTAAAGTAATCAAGTCACACCATTCTAGAAACTTCCAGTAATCTCAATCCTCCTCAAAATTGAAGTAAGACTTCAAAGACTGGGAAGGCCACATCACACTAGCTCTGTCTTTCTCGCCCATATTTTCCCTCCCCTGTTGATCTCTCCTTGTGTGCAGTGAGCTGGTCCCTGCCCCAGGACTTTTGCACATTCTCTGGCCATCTGGGATGAGTCTGCTTTCATCCATTTTTCTATCTGGCCATTCCCAGCATCTTTTAACAAATGTGACCCAAGAAGACATCCCTTACCTCATGTTGGGATTAGGGGCCTTTGCTGACCCTTCTAGGATTTATATCATACCTTGTCTCAGGGTTATTTGTGAGAGTCCCCTGGCCCTCTGACCATGAGCTCCTGATTTGCTGGCTCTGACTGTGTCCGATTCCCAGTTCAGGCCACTTAAAGTCGGTGACAGTGAAGCTGAGAGGACCTGTGCCCAGACACCCTGTGCCTGACCCTGCAGAAGGGGCACACACAGTGGGCTCCTCTCTTCACAGCAGAACCTCACTCTCGCCTCTTGTCTGCTGTTTGGGCCTAAAATAGCCCATCAGAGTCTGATTCTGTCCACTGCTTTTTTGGGGCTTTGTTTTGGGGTCACACCTGGCAGTGCTCAGAGGACTGTTCCCGGCTCTGTACTCCGGAGTGACTCCTGGTGGTGTCCGGGGAAACTATGCGTAGTCGGCAGGGATTCCAACCAGCCTGAGCTGCACAAGGCAAGCTCCTTACCCCTGTGCCGACTCTCTGGCCCTTTGTCCAGTCCTTTTATTGTTGCGTACTCAGGGGCCACTCTGTGAGATAGTCAGATAGATGGTCTGGACATTTCGGTGCTGGGCCCTGAGGGTGGTACAGTGCTGCCCAGGGTGCTCGGGGGCCGTGTGGTGCTGGGGATCAAATTTCGGGCATATGAGGGATGGATGCACCCCCTGATCACTGTACTAAGCCCCTCTTTTTATTTATTTGTTGTTTCGGGGCCACACCTGGCAGTAAGCCTAGCTGAGCACTCCGGGATCACTTGTGGCAGGGAGTTGGGGTGCTGGGAATTGAGCTCCAGTTGACTACATGCAAGGTAGGTACCCCACCTGCTGTACCCAGGCTCTGGTCCAGACCCCTCTTTTTAAATAGGGGCCACTCTATCAGAGCTCGGCCTGTGTGGTCTGAGGTGCTCGGATGGCGGTGCGGGGGTCCACAGGCCCACACCCAGCAGTGCTTGGGGCGTGTGGTAATACGGATCGGAGTCAGGGATGTGCTCTACCCCATGAGCAGTCCCTCTGTCCACTTGCTTAAGGTTGTCCCAGAGGCAGTCCCGGGAGGAACCTGATGGCACCTAGGTGAAGAGTGAGAGCACGGTCCAAATCCCCGATGACAGTGACTCTGTGCCTCAGTTTCCCCTGCCAACCAAGGAGTGCAGAACACTGCTGAAGATAAGTGGGAGGTGGGAGGAGGGAAGCACACCTGGTCAGCACTCCTGACACATGAAGGGCGGGGGGTGACTCTGGCTGCTGCGGGGGCCTGGGGACGCCTGGGCAGTGGCAGAAAGTAGGCCAGGCTGCTCCCGGTTCATATTTTCGTCAGCTCCGCGGCCCCTCCCAACTCGGTAGGAAGTGGGTCGTCGGCAGGACCCGCACTGGGATTCCTCATTTCCGCTCCAGTCTTTGGGGACACACACGCTCAGTTTCATTTAATCATAAAGCTTCTTAATTAGTTTTCCCCCCTTTTTGAATTCTGAGTGGCGGAGCTGCCCCTGCCGGGAGGGAGGGGAATCACGGCTCCTGCAGGGCCCAGCACCCAAGACCTTTGAGGCGCCCCCAGAGTCCAGTGAACGTCTCACATGACCCCCGCTCCAGCAGAACTTCTAGAGTACCCACTGGGTGCCAGGATGGGGGATAGCAGAGAGAAGGCAAGGTCTTACCCTCTGGTACCAAGTAGATGTGGTAACACCTAATTATTCAGTCACATTAAAAAGTAGTAGTTTGGGGGCAGTGCAATAGTGCAGTGGGTGGGGCGCTTGCCTTGCACGTGGTCGACCAGAGTTTGATGCCTGGCACCCCATATGGTCCCCTCAATACTGCCAGGAGTGATCCCTGAGCACTGCTGTGTGTGTGCTGTGTTTGGGCCAAGATTTTTTGTTTTAATGATGGCAAATGAGAGAGAGAGAGAGAGAGAGAGAGAGAGAGAGAGAGAGAGAGAGAGAGAGAGAGAGAAGATAGGTAAAGTACCAGGAGAAGATAAAAAGGGAGTCCTGGCTGAGTCTGAAAAGTGAGGGAAGGCTTCTCTGAGGAGGTGATATTTAAAGCTGAGATTTGAAAGGATGAGCTAAAACTAATCAGGTGCAGTGAAGAATAGTCTAGATCTCATTAAAAATATATATATATTTCTTATTTTGGAAGGGGGTCATAGTTGGATCCCTAAAGGATCATTCCCAGCTCAGTCCCTGGCACTCAAAGGACCAAACCTGGGCCTCTGGAATGCAGAGTAGGCGTCCCCGCCTGTGACTCTATCTTCTGGCACCTAAAATCAGTTTCTTTAGAGTTTACAATCAGTATATATTTAGTTCATGTACCTATTTTTACAAACCTTTCTACCTGGGTACTGTGGAAGCATTTCTTGGTCATTCATGGAAATGTTTAAGCAGCCCTGGCGTAGGGGAAGGAAGTCACACAACTCTCTGTCCAGTGGGGTCTCGGCTGCCCCTCCGCTGCCCACGGTCTCTCTAACTGACTCCTCCTGCCTCCCATAGCCTCCCTCACTGACTTCTATTTATTTATTTATTTATTTATTTATTTATTTTTAGGTCACACCCGGCAATGCACAGGGGATATTCCTGACTTTACACTTAGGCATCACCCCTGGCGGTGCTCAGGGGACCATATGGGATACTGGGAATCAAACTTGGGTCGGCTGTGTGCAAGGTAAACGCCCTCCCTGCTGTGCTATCGCTCCAGCCCCTGACTTCTCTTTAGAGATCACTCTGGCACCACTCACAGCCTCCTGGGGAGACACAGGAGCCCCCACCCAGCTTGGGAGGCTCTGAGAGAGGACAGTCCAAGGCTAGAGGGGACATTTGGGTGGGGTCCTGAAGAGGGAAGCCCAGGGCCGCCAGCCTGCAGTGTGGCACAGGGGGTGGGGGGGCTGGCCTTGCCTCCGCCAGACCCCTAGCCCCCTCAGCACAGAACCTGCCTTTCCTGCTGACACACACAGAGCCCACCTGAGAACCAGGGAGAGCAGGACACCTGCCCTGGTTCCCTCAGATGGTTGTGCAGAGCTGGGATTTGAACCTGCCATGACACTCTTTGTCCAGTGCTCCTTCTATTTCATCATGACATCTCCCTTGAGGGAGCAATAAGGGCCTGATTTGAAGGCCCAAAGAAAATCACCTTCCTCTGTACCAGGGGCTCTCCTCCATGTTTCTGAGGCAGCTCAGGGAAAGGCGAAAGGCTAGCATGTAACACATGTAGATCTGGGCAAACTCGTTCTATTTGACTTTTGTTCTTTCGCAGAGCATCAGGCCCACTGAAGTCAAGATGAGGACTGAAGTCAAGGTGAGGGGGCGTTGGGGCAGAGAAGCCGAGGCCACTGCGTTTCAGCCATGCTAGCCTGGCCAGCTTAGACTCTGAGGTCACCCAAGGGAGCCCGGCAGCCTGACCCCACCACTGACTCTCTCGGCAGCACCAGCGGATCTTCTTGTGGGACCACAGAGCCCCAGACAGTGGTGGGTGGGACCCTGCAGGACTGGGGAAGGCCAGGGGTGGCACACGTACCTTTTCATAGTACTGAAGCTCATAGTCCAGAATGACGCCGTTGGGCTGGTCAGGCTGGGACCAGGACAGGGTGATGCTGTCCACGGTACGGCTCACCTGGTGCATGATGGACACGGCCGATGGAGCTGGAAGAGAGGCCAGAGGACAGGGGTCAGGGACAGTCGTGAGAGGGTACAGCTTCAGGCCAGCTCAGGGGTGCCCAGACATAGAGGGAAGGTCACCAGCAGAGGCTGCACAGGCAGCCTGGGGACACTCTCTCTGACTGCACCCAGGGGAGAGAAAGGTGCTGGCTCTTCTAAGTCGGCACCGAGTCGGGTGGGCATGATACTGTCCTTTCTCTTGAGCTTAGCATCAATTGGATCTCAACACTTTAGGGATCCCTCTGAGCGGGAAGTTCAGAAAGTGGCAGATTCTTGAATTTCTTCCACAATCTTATATGGAGTCCTTACTGTGTGCCAGGGAACAACAGTAAATAAAACCAACCCCTCAAAATAAACATCAAAATAAACCCACCACAACTACGGAAAACAGTTTGGCAGGTCCTTATAAAATTAAACATAGCATTACCATGTGATCCAGTAATCCCTCTGCTACTTACAGTCACCCGAGAGCAGAAATAGGTACTCAGACAACGTGTGCACGGATGTTCTAGGACTGCTGTTCACGAGAGACCAAGGAGGGAACTGGCCATTCCCATCAGTGGACAAAGGGCAAAACACACAGGGGGATTCTCACAGGACAGAGTAACATAATATGCCAAGGAAAGAACGAAGGACTGACATCTGTCACCACGTGGGAGAGCCTCAAAAGGTGAGATGTGAAAGACCCACTGAAGGTGGCACATGGCCCCATTCTGTCACAGGATACGCGGGACAGGAAAATCCGTTGCCTAAGTGCAGAGAGGGCTCCCGGGGTTGGGGATGTGGAGGTCTCCAGCAGAGTTGGTGATCGGGATTCCACAGAGTGGTCCCACACTGTTGTGTGTGCTGAACTGTCCGCATGGCCCTGGCTCACTCTGGGCTATGGATTCTACCTCCATATAACCAGTAGCGGCCCCATTGTGTGCCCCTCCCCTCACCATGCTGGTCAGTGTCTTCGTGGATGGGGCTGGGGGCTGGGGAGCCTAGGGAGGGACAGATAAGTTATGAGAAATAGAACTCAGTGCTTCAAGGACTCAGAGAAATGATTAAGTCCCATCTTGCACTTTACAGAGGTGGGCACTGAGGTCAGAGAGCCCAAGATCTTGGGGTGAGCCCAGCAATAGCCCCTTTCCTGATGCTTTTTACAAGGTGCTCCCGGCTTGTGCTCAAATCAACAACCTGCACAAAGTTCCTGTCAGACAAAGCCCTCAGCCCCCCACATGTGTGTTCTGAGCCACTGGGGAGGGAGTAGCAGCACCCCCCACCACCTCTCCACCTTTTCCAGGAGAAGACCCCTGGGCAGGTGTTGTCTCAAGTCCTGTAGACTGTGAGGGAGGGAGCCTGGTTTCAAAGTTGCTCTCAAAAACAGGTTGGACTCCAGACCAGAGTCTCTGCTTTGAGGCTGGGGTGAGCCCACGGGTGTGTGTGTGTGTGTGTGTGTGTGTGTGTTGTGGTGCCAGGCGGGGCTGAGGATCGCCAGGGTAAAGGTGCTCGTCCTTGCTCCTGTGCTGGGCAGAGAGCAGGGTGCTGCATAGGGCTGTGGCCAACTCATCTATTTACCCCAAATCCAAAGGGTATAGTGGGTAGACACAGGCCCAGTCGGGCATATGGGAACCTGGAGTGTGGAGCTGCCTGGTCCCCGCTGTCTCTCTGCCTTCGTCCCAGGGTGAAGGAGTGGTCTATTGGGTCTGAGATCCAGACCCTGTGCTCTCACCTCTTCATCATGCTCCATCCCACTCCCTGCACCCAGAGCCTGACGGGGGAGCACCAGTTCTGAAGCTCAGGCACTTTCCCAGGGTGCCTAAAGGGTTGTAAAAAATGGGCTCGGAACCCCCAGATGGCGTGGCAGTACCTGCAGGGACAGGGCCCTGATCCAGATGGCCCCAGTGGTCCCTGCCCTTCTCTAGCCTGGAGGTCCTCTGCCTGCCCCCCAGTCCAGCCCTCCACTGTCCTGCCAGGGCATGACCTCTTGGGAAGCTCCGAGTCACAGCTCCCTGCTGTCCCCTCCTTAGGGGCACAGGGTGATTTTCGCTTCCTTATTACTCCCTCAGTATCCAGAGAGCCCAGTCTTGGGGCCAGAGACACAGTACAGTAGGTGCTTGCCTTACACATGGCTGACCCGGGCTTGATCCCTGGCACCACATATGGTCCCCTGAGCTTGGCTAAGAGGGATCCATGAGAGCCAGGAATTAACCCTGAGCATGCTGGGTGTGGGTTAAAGGGAGAGAGAGACAGACTGACAGACAGAGAGACATACAGACAGACAGAGAGACAGAGAGACAGAGACCCTGGGCCCCCTCCCCTCATCTCTTTCATTCTACCCAGGCACTTTTCCAAATGCTCAATCCCAGTTAACCCAGCAGTAGCCTTCTCACCAGCTAACAGAGGTGCCAGCTAACACAGTGCCACCAGCTAACAGAACCAGCAGCTAATACAGTGCCACTAGCTAACACAACATCACCAGCTAACAGAACCATCCACTAACAGAGCCACCAGCTAACAGAGCCACCAGCTAACAGAGCCACTAGCTAACACAGCACCACCAGCTAACAGAACCATCAACTAACAGAGCCACCAGCTAACAGAGATACCAGCTAACAGAGATACCAGCTATCAGTGCCACTAGCTGACACAGTGCCACCAGCTGACAGAGGGCCACCACCTAACAGTTCCACCAGCTAAGACAGTGTCAGCAGCTAACAGTGCCACTGGGACCAGGGGCAGGGAGCCAAGTTTCTTGGGTCCTCTGATGTCACTGCTGGCTTTTCAGATCACAGCACTAACCCTTACTGTACCCCAACTTGCCAAGCTTCACTCTAGGCTCTGTGAGCAGTGACGTGATCATGTCCTCTCCACTGCCCCAGGGCTGTGAGGCTCTTACATCCAGTTAGAGATGGAGCCAGTGGACCCAAGCCCTTGGCCCACACAGTACTGGACAGCCAGCAGAGTGTTCCCAGGATGTGAACACAGATAATTGTGAGCGCCCTGGTGTGTGTGTGTGTGTGTGTGTGTGTGTGTGTGTGTGTGTGTGTATGCTCCTGCCTGAGTAGCACCTCTAGGCTCAGGCATGCCTCTGTCCTGATGACCCGAGGGACCACGGAAGAACTACAATAGGGGTGATGACTGCTTTTAAACCAAAACACAAGTGGGGGCTGGAGCGATAGAACTGTGGGTACATGATCAACCTGGGGTTGGTCCCCAGCATCCCATAGGGTCCCCCAAGCATCACCTGAGTGCAGGACTGAGAGTAAACTCTGAGCATTACCAGGTGTGACCTCAAAACTAAACAAAACAAAATACAAAATCAAAAAAAAATATACCCCCAAAACACAAGCTTGTCATTCTGGCAACCCCAAATGACCGTGGGCTCCCTCCCCCATCTCTTTCATTCTACCCAGGTGCTTTTCCAAGTGCTCGGTCCCAGTTCACCCAGCAGTAGCCTTCTCAGCAGGGACACCTAGTCACCTACCCATTCCGTAACATCAATTAGCGAGCAGTGATGCTGGGTTTGAGCCCAGACCTGCCGGGTCCAACATACCCTTTCTCTTTCCTTGGCTGTGACTGGCTAGGCAGATCTGCAAGCTGGTGGGCCTTAGGGGGCCCCTAAGGACACCCTGTACGGCTCCCGCTGACTCACCGTTCCCACCACCCACACGGCCGCTGGCCTGGACTCAGCTGTTGGTGGAGGCAGGTCTCCCCCCACCCCAGCCATGGGGGTGCAGGCCCTGGGGGCTTAGCTGGCAGGCTTGGGTTTCAGGCAGCTAACCCCATGCTGATCCCATAAGCCCCGTAACCTGGGTGTGGCCAGGGGGCGGCATTTGCTGGGAAGATGATCAATGCGGCCAGAGGGAGGCCAGGCAGGCCCGGCCTTTATCCTGGAATCCTGGGGGATTAATGGCTGAGGAAAGGGAACAGCTGGATGTGCTCCCACCCCTCCTGCCGTCTGCCGCCCACCCTGGGGTGTCAGGTTACCCTGTAAGTTAGTCTTGTGAGAATTCTGGAATTTTCAATTACCAGGCGAGGGGATGGGGTCAGTGGTGCCCCGTGACCCCTGCAAGAAGATGGAGCCCCGAGGGAGTCAGCACAAAGGAGGAGAATGGCTGAGAGGGGCCAGGGGGAGTCAGGCCAGGAGGCCTGCAGGGCGGGAGCAGGTGGCCAGGGGTGTGGCCCCCGCGAGCCTGGGGAGGGATCGGAGCTTCCTTAGTGGAGACGGAGGAGAAGTTGCCTGTGGTGTATCTATGCGCCACTGCAGCCGGGCATGCAGGGTGGAGGGTGATCTTGGGGTCCTCTGGGGGGGAGAAACTGTCAGAGGAAGGACTGAGACCTGAGTCTGGAGGAAGGGGCGCCCCCACTTGACCTCACCTTTACCCTTTCACCAGTCAGAAGACCCCAGGAGTGTGGAGAAAAGTCGCTGGTCACTGGGCAGTCTAAGGCCCATACGGTCTCAGGGCCCACCATCGACCGGACACCTGCCCTTGGTGGCTTCCTACTGAGCTGAGTAAAACTCAGTTGCTATGGGGGCCTTTCCCAGATCCACACCCGCCCTGTACTCGCCCCGAGCTTCCAGGCACCACACACGCAGCTGCCCTCCGATTCCTGATTGTTCTGGGCCCATTCCTTCCTCGGCCGCATGTTCTGGGCCCCTGCCTGGAAACCTGTGTGCCCAGACCTCAGAGCCAGCTGCTCCTCTTCAACCCTGGCTCAGCCAGCCTCCTCTGAGAGGCCCGTCTGGCCATTCCCTCTGTCGTTCACCACTCCTCACTTGCTTTCTTTACTGTGCTCACACTGTCCCTGCTCAATCATTTATCCTAGTGTCCATAGCAGTTCATGGTTCTGAGGGTCTTGAGCACATGGGAGGGTGGGAGGGAGGGAGGGATGGAGGATGGATGGGAGGAAGGAAGGGGTCGGATGGATGGGAGGACAGGAGGGGGAGGATGGATAGGAGGGCGGGAGGGGGAGGATGGATGGGAGGAAGGGAAGGGGGG